CACTGATAGGCATTCTTTAAGGGAATGCTGTGCTTGCTGATTTTGTTAGTAGAAACCATCTTGGTTATGTGCTCTCGGACTTTGTCCCCGTTCAGACTTGTCACACTCCGTTTAATGTTCCAGATCTCCATTGCTCCTCGAGCCATAAACTCCTTCCACTTACCCGAAGACCCCACGGTTCCTGTCATCATGGTGGGCCCGGGCACTGGTGTGGCCCCCTTCATCGGCTTCCTGCAGCACAGGTGAGCAGGAAGCTGTGGTCCTGGTGGGAGGTGAAGTTGCAGCTGTCTGTGTTCTTGGTAGCTTTCAGGTGGGTGGACTTGGTTGTAAGGGTTTGGTTTGAAATTGATGATGATGAGGCGTATGACCCATTAAACTGTCACTAGGACCAGCAGCACCGCACATGGCAGAGGGCTGGCTTTCTTCATGTTACACTTGCATTTTCTGTTCTTTGTCAACTTCACCAGGATAAAGCCGGTATACCAAGTTTCCTCACATGCAGCGTGCCCACACACATATATGTAATGCACATAGAGAACTAATCAGGAGGGAGGTGTGCAGTTTGCGAAACCCCACATAACTTGCATGTGATTTGTGTATGGTGGTTGGGGACAGATGTAGTGGGTTACTTCCTGCTGAGACAGCACGCGGTCTGCTTCACAGGTTTCTTAACTAGGTGAACGTAATAGGAATAGACCCAGTAACGTCAGAAATGTCAGCATCATCAGTGATTTCTCAGTAGTGATATTAAACTTGTAATGTGTCAAAACACAAGCATTTGCCATAAAAACCAGTAAATAAAACTGCCTCTGCGTACAACGTAGGCAGTAACCCTCGCACGCTGTTCCTGAGATTGTGGAATCGTTTCCTTGGAGAAAGTCACTTTGTTGTTTCTTTACGATAGCGAATGAACCCCAGCCAGCAGCATGTCTCAGCGGTGCGTCCGCCCTCTTGCAGGTTCCGGCGCCGGCCCCAGCGCTAGTTGAGAGTTGGAGTGAATTCCTGGATGTTATGTGGTGTGGACACGGTGTGGGTTTCCGTGGTTTGTGTGCCTGGTATCACCGCTGTAACTGGCCATCGGCTGCTTTGCTGCCCGTGCCCACTCGCTAGCGTCTGCCGGGGTGGCCTGTGGCCTGTAGGTGTTAGCCAAGTGGGTAGCCTTCCAGAGGCCCAGGAGGTGATTTATAGACCTGTCGGACTTTGGCTGTGGTGTCTCCTGACTCGTCCTACCATCTGACTAACAAGTGTCTCCCGTGGTTTCTCATTTAGAGAGAAGCTGCAAGAACAGAACCCCGACGGAAGCTTTGGGGCAATGTGGCTGGTTTTCGGCTGCAGACACAAGGACAGGGATTATTTATTCAGGTACTGGCCAGTCCTGGCCCTGCCCTGCTCGCCCGGCACAGTGCGATTCTTGCTTTAGATTTCTGACAGTTGAAAGGACAAGCCTCCTAGTGACCCCCTGGCATGTTGCATTTCAGAGATGAGCTGATGCATTTCCTCAAGCACGGGGTCCTGACTCACCTGACGGTGTCTTTCTCACGGGACGCCCCAGCAGGCGAGGGCACAGCCCCGGCCAAGTACGTGCAGGACAGCCTGCGCCTTCATGCCAAGCAGGTGGCCAGGATCCTTCTCCAGGAGAATGGCTCTGTGTACGTGTGCGGGTGAGTGCGTCATTTGGGAGACACGGCGGGGGTGTGTAAGCAGAACTACAGGCCAGCAGCAGCAGGCGAGTCAGCTCCTCATGTGTACGAGGGTGGGTTCCTCACGTGGACAGGAGTGGACTCCTCACATACATGGGCATGTCTCCTCATGTGGACAGGGGATGGGCTCCTCACGTGGACAGGGGTGGACTCCTCACATACATGGGCATGTCTCCTCCTGTGGACGGGGGGGTGGGCTTCTCATGTGGACAAGGGTGGACTCCTCACATACAGGGGTATGTCTCCTCATGTGGATGGGTGGTGGGCTTCTCATGTGGACGGGGGGTGGGCTCCTCATGTGGACAGGGGTGGACTCCTCACATACATGGACATGTGTCCTCATGTGGACCGCGGGTAGACTCCTCATGTGGACAGGGCTGTGCTCCTCACATACATGGGCATATCTCATTTGGACGGGGGTGTGCTCCTCACATACATGGGCGTATTTCCTCATGTGGGCGGGGGTGTCTCCTCACGTGGACAGGACAGGGGTGGGCTCCTCACATACATGGACATGTCGCCTCATGTGGACCAAGTTGGGCTCATGTGGACGTAGGTGGTCTCCTCACATGGACGGTGGTGGACTCCTTACATAGATGGGGATGTGTGGGTGTGTCTCCTCACATGGATGGGAGTGGGCTTCTCACATGAAATATGGTGTTAGCGTGCACCTATCAGCCAGGACTCATAGTGACCCTATATGGTTTCTAAGGAAGTGATTAGTGGGTTTGAACGCCAACCTGGTAATTAGCAGTCCAGTGCATACCAGGACATCAGGGAAATTGCTGTGAAACATCAGTTCACTTTCTTCACTCCTTGGGGTTGCTCGGAGCCTCCAGGACGTACCAGACCCACTTGGCCCAGCAGTGGAAGGGATGAGCTGGCCGGTGGGCTCCTCTGAAGGCCTTCAGCAGGTCACTGTGGTCAGGACAGAGAGGGAGGGGGAGACTTGCAGCTCTCCCGAGAAAATGGGGAAGAAGTAAGATGTCAGAAGGGATGAAGTTACTAGATCCGGGTGGATTTGGTTAGAAAGTAGAAAAATCCTATTTCTTCAACACTGATGGCATTCTCTTCTAGTGATGCTAAGCACATGGCCAAGGATGTGAATGACGCCCTGGTGGGGATCATAAGCACCGAGGCAGGGGTCGACACACTGGAGGCAATGAGGACATTGGCGGCCTTCAAGGAGGAGAAGCGCTACCTGCAGGAGATCTGGTCATAATCCAGCCTCACACGCAAGGACGAGCTTTGCTGAAGCGTCCACTCTCTCTGTCTGTGTGCCTTGGCCCTACCCCCACCCCAGGCCACCCTCCTCCCTGGAGGACTTGGTATAGGCCCGGCCAGCTGTGTGGAGGTGCAAGGGGGTTCTGAGTTTACTTCTGGACACACGGGTCATGCGTGCCCGGGGGTGACTGGGTGGACCGTGGACACCTGTGAACTGCTGCTGTCAAAGTTGTTGAATAATGTCTACAGAATTTTTCATCTTTATCAGAAGTACATCCAGGAGTGTTGTGAAGTGCTGTCGAGTTGGTTCCGCCTCATGGCGAACCTGTATAGGGTTTCCAAAGAGCAGCTGCTGAGTTTGAACTGCTGACCCTGTGTTTGCAGTCCAGGGCTTCTCCTACAGCACCACACTAGAAGTCTACGAATAAGAGTATCAAAAGCCCTATGTTTACATCGTCTACATGCAACACCCGTTACACATTAATGTCACTTTAATAAGTGTCTACTTATTATCAATGCTTTCTGATAGAAAATATTGTAACGTAATGAATATTGCAGGGGTCTTTTCTGGAACGATGCTATAAATGTGAAATATATTTTAAAATCCTTCTCTGACTCATGGTTTATTTATCAGGTATTTCCTTCTTCCAGTATCAGAATTCGGAAGAATTCACATTTAATGTAAAGGCAGATATACTAGGGGAGTTCAAAAACTGGGGAAGTGAAATGAAAGAGAATGGAATGCCCACAGACTGCAGGCCCACTGCGTGCTCTAGGAACGGGGCAGACTGTAGCGTACTCAGACGCGATCTCCTCTCGAAATACCCACTCAGTTACTAGCCTTGTTTCTTAAATTTCTAAGGACGGAATTCTCATCGCAAATTTGCCGCAGTGAGAATCAGACTGGACCGAGGTCTGATCACCGTTCCCGGTAGATTCTGGTTTTGTTCAAGACAGTGGCATTTTCAACGCCAGGAGGGAGCGACCTGTCGAAGGCTTGCAGCCATTAGAAGACATGCCCACCTGCAGGAAGCCGGCCATAACCTTAGGATTGGGAAGAATTCTGACTGCTCACCATATTGTTCTGTAGTCTGACTGTCTGCATGCATTTCACAATGGAAACCTATCTCACAAGTGGAGGGAGAGGAGCCCAGCAGATCCTCTGTTAGCCTGAGACTTCTGGGGAAGCCAGGTGACAACACTGAGGAAGAGCACTGCTCCTGAGGAGAAAGGTAAGGCTGTCCGCTCCCGCAGAGACGGGCAGTCTGGAAGCCCGTGAGCGGCTCCGCTCTGCCCATGGGGTACCGTCCTGTAGCTGTGAGTGGTATCAGTTCACAGCACTGGATTGAGCCCCTTCATTTCATGTTGTTGAGCGCTGTGAGGCGGTTCTGACTCAGTGACCTGATAGGGTTTGTGAGTTGTTGCTGCTGACCTTGAGCCGCCTGCCTTGCAGTCCAGTGTTTACCCTACACTGCCACACATCAGCCAAAATGAGCACATTCAAGGAGCACACGCTTTATTTCAGCTGCACTCTGAGGCAGGGGTCGAGATCACGTCCTGATGCCTGGGAACCGGCCTGTGAGGATCTGTTCACAAGTTGATGAGGTTCGTTCTGTCAGCTGTTGCTAACCATCGGATTTGAGGTGGGTTTTGATCGGCTGCTTCCCATAGCCTTACTGACGGGGAGGGTGAGGCAGAGAAGGCAGCAGCAGCCAGGTACCCAGAGACACTAAAGGTGCCTTAGACACTAAAGACTGAAGACCAGAAGAATTGTGGGATGACATCAAAAGCATCATACTGGAAAAAGTCAAAAAGGCTTTAAGACACGAAAGAAGAAAAAAAGCAAAATGGATACCAGAAGAAACTCTGAAACTTGTTCTCCAGTGTAGAGATGCTAAAGTAAATGGAAGCACTGAGGAGATAAAAAAGCTGAATAGAAAACTTGAAAGGGCAGCTCGAGAAGACAACTTCAAATATAACAAAATGTGCCAAGACCTGAACTTAGCTAATTCATCGCAGTTACCTGATTCTGATTAATACCTGAAGAACAAGTACAATGTTTTATTTAGGTTTGACATCATCTAGACTTCTAGACCATAGTCACTAGACAAATCACACTGAATGCTTCATTTATTCATAAATGACTTGCCAGTAATTGATAGATTTTCCAGTGAGTTTCATGCTTAGAAAACCAAAGGTAAGAACACACTCAGCATTTCTCAAGCTGAGGGAAGTGAAGAAAAAATTCAAGCCTTGATTTGTGTTATTGAAGGATTCAAGCATGTGATCAAGAGCCAATGATGCTGAAGTTAGAAGTCCAAGGTGCATTGGAAGGCATTGGCAAAGAACAAGGCTCTGGGAATTGATGAAATACAAATTGAAATCTTTTAACAAACTGATGGAGCACTGGAGGCACTCATCTATGCCAAGGAATTTGGAAGACAACTACCTGGCCAATTGATTGGAAAAGATCTATATATGTGCCCATTCCAAAGAGAGGTGACCCAACTTTATTCAGAAATCATCAGTCAATATCATTAATATTGCATGCAAGTACAATTTTGCTAAAAATAATTTGAAAACTGGCTGCAGCACTGCCAGAAGTTCAAGCCAGATTTAGACCAGGATATGGATCGAGGGATATCACTGCTGATGACAGATGGATCTTGGCTGAAAGCAGAGAATGCCAGAAAGATGTTTACCTGTGCTTTACACACTATGCAAAGGCTTTAGATTGTGTGGATCATGACAAGCTATGGACAACATTGTAGAGAATGAATATTCCGGAACACTTAATTCTGCTGATAAGGAACCTGTACATAGACCAAGAGGAAGTTGTTTGAACACAACAAGAAACACCGAATGGTTTAAAGTTAGGATAGGTGTGTACCAGGGTTGTATTATTTCACTGTACTTAATCTATGGTGAGCAAATAATTCAAGAAACTTGATTATAAGAAGAACATTGCATCAGGATTGGAGGAAACATTAACAACTTACGATAGGCAGATGATATGACTTTGCTTACTGATAGTTAAGTGAACTTTAAGATACTCACTGATGAAGGTCAAAGACCACAGTCTTTGGTATGGGTTACACCTCAATGTAAAGAAAACAAAAATCCTCCCCACCGGACCAGTAAATAACATCACGTTAAATGGAGAAAAGATCGAAGTTGTCAAGGATTTCATTTTGCTTAGATCAGTCATCTACACTCATGGAAGCAGCAGTCAAGAATTGAAACGGCGTATTGCATTAGGCAAATCTGCTGCACAAGACCTCTTTAAAGTGTTGAAGAGCAAAAATGTCAGTTTGAGGATTGAGGTGTACCTGACTGAAACCATAATATTTTCATGCAAAAGTTGGACAGTGAATAAGGAAGATCACAGAAGAATTGATGCATTTGAGTTATGGTGTTGGAGAAGACTATTCAAAGTACCATGGACTGCCAAAAGAACAAATTTGTGTTGGATGAAGTACAGCCAGGATGCTCTTTAGAGTAAGGATATGAAGACTTTATCTCTCATGCTTCAGACATACCAGGAAGGGCCAGTCCCTGCAGAAGAACATCATGCTTGGTAAAGTGGACGGTCAGCAAAAGTGAGGAGGATCCCCAATGAGATGGACGGACACAGTGGCAGCAGCTCAGATGGAGCCACGATTTTGAGGTTGATGAAGGACCAGGCAGTGTTTCATTCTGCTGTACATAAGGTCACTATGACTCAGAATTGACTTGATGACACCTAACAACAACAAAGTATGTTGATGGAATACAACCCTAGTTCACACCATGTCCTAATTTTAAACCATTCAGTATTCCCTTGTTCTATGTACAGTGTCCTTATGAACACAATTTTTTGTTCTAGAATGCCCATTCTTTGCAATGTTTGTAATGATCTACACCAGGGTGGGGAACATCTACCTACAGACTGTATGTTGTTGTTAGGTGCCATGGAGTCGGCACCAACCCTATGTACAACAGAATGAAACACTGCCTGGTCCTGGTCTATCATTGCCACGCTTGAGCCCATTGATGCTACCACTTTACCAATCCATCTCGCTGGGGGGGTCTTCCTCTTTTTCTCTGACCCTCCACCTTACCAAACATGATATCCTTCTCCAGAAACTGGTCCCTCCTGACAATATGTCCAAAGTATGAGAGACGAAGTCTGGCCATCCTGGCCTCCAAAGAGAACTCTGGCTTCACTTCATCCAACACAGATCTGTTGGTTCTTTTGGTAACCCATGGCACTTTCAATATTCTCCTCCAACACCATAACTCAAAAGCATCAATTCTTCTACTGTCTTCTTTATTCACTGTCCAGCTTTCACATGCATATGAAGCTATTGAAAATACCATGGCTTGGGTCAGGTGCACCTTAGTCTTCAAGCTGACAGTTTTGCTCTTCAACACTTTAAAAAGGTCTTGTATAGCAGATTTGCCTAATTCAATGTGTCTTTTGATTTATTGACTGCTGATTCCATGAGTGTTGATGGTTGAGCCGAGCAAAATGAAGTCCTTGACAACTTCAGTCTTTTTTCCTTTTATATGGATGTTGTTTATTTGTCCAGTGATGAAGATTTTCGTTTTCTTTATATTGAGATGCAATCCATACAGAAGGCTGTGGTCTTTGATATTCATCAGTAAGTATTTTAAGTCCTTTTTCACTTTCATCAAGCAAGGTTGTATCAACTGCATATCGCAGGTTATTAATGAGTCATCCTCTAATCCTGACGCTACGTTTTTCTTCATAGAACCCAGCTTCTCAGATTATTTGCTGAGCATACAGGTTGAATAAGTATGGCGAAAGAATACAACCTTGTTGCACACCTTTCTTAATTTTAAACCATTCAGTGTTCCCATGTTCTGTTCGAAAAACTGCCTCTTGGTCCAGGTAAAGATTCCTCATGAGCAGAATTAAATGGTATCACATTAATTGTCAAAAAGACCATTTCAGTCTATCTTGAAGTACAGTGCTGTCTGTGATATGATCATATC